ATACTAATTTACTAATCATTAATTATCGTATATGCCTGTTTTTAAGCTGAATATTTTTTTGACCAAAACAAAAAAAGCTGAATATTTATAGTTAGGATGATCATAGTACAAGCACGAACCAGGATACTTTCCAAGAGCCAAACCAAAAGGGTGTACAGCACTTTTGATTAGTATAAAGGGCGAATGGAGGGTGTTAGAAAGGGGTATTTACCCACCATAAAAAAAATTAGGCTAATTTTTTTAGAGTTTAAATATGCCTCTGTTGATACATTGTTTTATGCCTCTATTAGGTATTTCTATGATGTTTGAATATTTTTTATATAAAAAAATATTTAGTAGTTTTGAAATCTGCCTCTGATGAAAATAATTTCTAGATTCGCCACTGATTAGTATAATAAAGTGCATGAAAAGATTAGTATACAATAGGTTGTTCTAGTCTTCTAGATAATCTAAAGAAACTGCCACTGCCTGATCATGATTGTTTGGTCTAGTTTAAGAAAATAAACACATATTTTTTTCAAGATATTTCAATTAGTATACAAGTCTCCTTTAAAAAGGCTTTAACGAAATATTTTAATTAATTCTTCGTATTGCGTGATGTATAAATTAATTCGTACAAATTAAATACAACTTCAATATTTTATTTTTTAATTTAACCTATATAGTTGTACAAGCAATAATTAGAATATTCATTTTCGTAGATTAGACCCCTAAAATAAAATATCAAGTGGTTAGTTAAATTTGCGGGTATTTCAGCTTTTAAATCAACTATTTCGAGAGATAGGGAGTTCAATATGAAGTGATTGTTAATCAACCGTTACTAGATGATTTGTCATCTAGATAAATATTTTATTTGTTTAAGCTTCAAAACTACATTGGAATTATTCATTTTAAATATCAGACAGTTGCCTTTGGATAGGTGAAGAATTTAATTGAATTCGTGAAGAATTTAAAGCACGATTAAGGATCTATTTTCTGTTTCGTATAATGTTAAATGACAAAAACAAATATCAAATACTATTTGAAGCCCTGTTAGATTGTGGCTCACTTACTGTTAATTGCTTTTTGTAGCTTAAAATCCGCCTACGAAAATAGTATTTATGCAAAAACGTTCTAAATATGGTATTATCAACGACTGGTCTGGAACACCAAAAAAACTATGGATTAAAGATTTAGAATTCCAACGGTTCAACAAAAAAAAAGATTAAGAGAGAGTCGTATCGACCACAAAACAAAACAACCTC